AGTATGTACTCCATGGATTTAACTCACATAGCTGACACATGCTATGCTCACTAGTAGATTAGTATGTACTCCATGGATTTAACTCACATAGCTGACACATGTTATGCTCACTAGTAGATTAGTATGTACTCCATGGATTTAACTTACATAGCTGACATATGTTATGCTCACTAGTAGATTAGTATGTACTCCATGGATTTAACTCACATAGCTGACAGATGTTATGCTCACTAGTAGATTAGTATGTACTCCATGGATTTAACTCACATAGCTGACACATGTTATGTTCACTAGTAGATTAGTAGGTACTCCATGGATTTAACTCACATAGCTGACAGATGTTATGCTCACTAGTAGATTAGTATGTACTCCATGGATTTAACTCACATAGCTGACAGATGTTATGCTCACTAGTAGATTAGTATGTACTCCATGGATTTAACTCACATAGCTGACACATGTTATGCTCACTACTAGATTAGTATGTACTCCATGAATTAAACTTACATAGCTGACACATATCATGCTCACTAGTAGATTAGTATGTACTCCATGGATTTAACTCACATAGCTGACACATGTTATGTTCACTAGTAGATTAGTATGTACTCTATGGATTTAACTCACATAGCTGACACATATCATGCTCACTAGTAGATTAGTATGTACTCCATGGATTCAACTCGCATAGCTGACACATGTTATGTTCACTAGTAGATTAGTATGTACTCCATGGATTTAACTCACATAGCTGACACATGTTATGCTCACTAGTAGATTAGTATGTACTCCATGGATTTAACTCACATAGCTGACACATGTTATGCTCACTAGTAGATTAGTATGTACTCTATGGATTTAACTCGCATAGCTGACAGATGTTATGCTCACTAGTAGATTAGTATGTACTCCATGGATTAAACTCACATAGCTGACACATGTTATGCTCACTAGTAGATTAGTATGTACTCCATGGATTTAACTCACATAGCTGACACATGTTATGTTCACTAGTAGATTAGTATGTACTCCATGGATTCAACTCACATAGCTGACACATGTTATGTTCACTAGTAGATTAGTATGTACTCCATGGATTCAACTCGCATAGCTGACAAATGTTATGCTCACTAGTAGATTAGTATGTACTCCATAGATTTAACTCACATAGCTGACAAATGTTATGCTCACTAGTAGATTAGTATGTACTGCATGGATTTAACTCACATAGCTGACACATGTTATGTTCACTAGTAGATTAGTATGTACTCCATGGATTTAACTCACATAGCTGACACATGTTATGTTCACTAGTAGATTAGTATGTACTCTATGGATTTAACTCACATAGCTGACAGATGTTATGTTCACTAGTAGATTAGTATGTACTCCATGGATTTAACTCACATAGCTGACACATGTTATGCTCACTAGTAGATTAGTATGTACTCCATAGATTTAACTCACATAGCTGACACATGTTATGTTCACTAGTAGATTAGAATGTACTCCATGGATTCAACTCACATAGCTGACAAATGTTATGCTCACTAGTAGATTAGTATATACTCCATGAACTCACATAGCTGACAAATGTTATGCTCACTAGTAGATTAGTATGTACTCCATGGATTTAACTCACATAGCTGACACATGTTATGCTCACTAGTAGATTAGTATGTACTCCATGGATTTAACTCACATAGCTGATACATGTTATGCTCACTAGTAGATTAGTATGTACTCCATGGATTTAACTCACATAGCTGACAGATGTTATGCTCACTAGTAGATTAGTATGTACTCCATGGATTTAACTCACATAGCTGACACATGTTATGTTCACTAGTAGATTAGTAGGTACTCCATGGATTTAACTCACATAGCTGACAGATGTTATGCTCACTAGTAGATTAGTATGTACTCCATGGATTTAACTCACATAGCTGACAGATGTTATGCTCACTAGTAGATTAGTATGTACTCCATGGATTTAACTCACATAGCTGACACATGTTATGCTCACTACTAGATTAGTATGTACTCCATGAATTAAACTTACATAGCTGACACATATCATGCTCACTAGTAGATTAGTATGTACTCCATGGATTTAACTCACATAGCTGACACATGTTATGTTCACTAGTAGATTAGTATGTACTCTATGGATTTAACTCACATAGCTGACACATATCATGCTCACTAGTAGATTAGTATGTACTCCATGGATTCAACTCGCATAGCTGACACATGTTATGTTCACTAGTATATTAGTATGTACTCCATGGATTTAACTCACATAGCTGACACATGTTATGCTCACTAGTAGATTAGTATGTACTCCATGGATTTAACTCACATAGCTGACACATGTTATGTTCACTAGTAGATTAGTATGTACTCTATGGATTTAACTCACATAGCTGACACATGTTATGCTCACTAGTAGATTAGTATGTACTCTATGGATTTAACTCACATAACTGACACATGTTATGTTCACTAGTAGATTAGTATGTACTCCATGGATTTAACTCACATAGCTGACACATGTTATGCTCACTAGTAGATTAGTATGTACTCCATGGATTTAACTCACATAGCTGACACATGTTATGCTCACTAGTAGATTAGTATGTACTCCATGGATTTAACTCACATAGCTGACATATGTTATGCTCACTAGTAGATTAGTATGTACTCCATGGATTTAACTCACATAGCTGACAGATGTTATGCTCACTAGTAGATTAGTATGTACTCCATGGATTTAACTCACATAGCTGACACATGTTATGTTCACTAGTAGATTAGTAGGTACTCCATGGATTTAACTCACATAGCTGACAAATGTTATGCTCATTAGTAGATTGGTATATATTCCCTTGAACTCAACATAGCTGAACAAATGTTATGCTCACTAGTAGAATTAGTATGTACTCCCATGGATTTAACTCACATAGCTGACACATGTTATGCTCACTAGTAGATTAGTATGTACTCCATGGATTTAACTCACATAGCTGATACATGTTATGCTCACTAGTAGATTAGTATGTACTCCATGGATTCAACTCACATAGCTGACAAATGTTATGCTCACTAGGAGATTAGTATGTACTCCATGGATTTAACTCACATAGCTGACACATGTTATGCTCACTAGTAGATTAGTATGTACTCCATGGATTTAACTCACATAGCTGACACATGTTATGTTCACTAGTAGATTAGTATGTACTCCATGGATTTAACTCACATAGCTGACAGACG